CGGAGTTACATCACGGTTTGTAAGTTACTGACGGAGTTACATCACGGTTTGTATGTTACTGACGGAGTTACATCAGGGTTTATATGTTACTGATGGAGTAACATCACGGTGTGTATGTTACTGATGGAGTTACATCACAGTTTGGCAAGTTACTGACGGAGTTACATCACGGTTTGTAAGTTACTGCCGGAGTTACATCACGGTTTGTAAGTTACTGACGGAGTTACATCACGGTTTGTATGTGTCTGACTATTAGGTACCAATACGACACAGATCATTTTATTTTTTGATTTTGTGGGAATATTCATGACACGCTATTTAAGAAATGTAGAAAACCAATAGGCTGTTTCACTTATGTTCACGTACATGTAGGTATCTTTTGTTTTGTTCTCTTTTTTTTTACACAAAAGAACAGAATATTTTAAAGCAAATATTTCTGAAAAAACACGTTGTGGGCCTGTTAAGAACTATTAAGCCGATATAGTCTTGCTCTTTATGACACGTGTACGTGGTTTATTTTCTAAATCTTCTGTTGTATCTATGAATATAAACTGTATGGTAACCTAATAGTCCACCTTTTCCTTCCATAGGAGATGCGATCCCTCTACTCTCTTCATGCCAACTTTATGCTGTAAAGTTTTGGCGCTGAAGTGAAGATGGCGATAACATTCTTATAGAAAAAAACAGAAAGGGTCAAGGCCGACGAGCGGGATTATCATCTGCACGAGCTAGTGGAATTAATAACATATTCTGTACTAAAAACCGATAAGGCCTAGCTGTAAGTGTGTGGTGGTGTGTATGACCTGGAATTCAATCTGGTTGTACCCAGATCTCTGGCACCGAACGTTATCATTCATGTATAGGAAGGAAGATGTCACGTATTTCATGCGGAAAGAAAAGTGTACATGATAATTGGTGAACGACCATGATCAATATTTTTTTAGATTGGCTGCAGCAGAAACTTATATAGAGAGATAAGTTACAATGGTTTGCGACTTACATGTGGACCTTATGCTGCTCAAAAACCAATTCCTTTGATGAGCAAGACATTTGATAGGGATGTACGTAATGGCAGGTTCGTCTAGCGATACCAACACGTACGTGAAGACCGCTGTTTTTGTGAAAAAAATCAAAATGTTGTCCCTGCTACATGTGATTATGATTGTTTGGGTGCTGAATGTGACGGACTCTCTACCGACAGAGGACAACGACACAAGCAATGCCGTAACACCTTCTGTGGAAGGTCCATTCGACGAGGCGCTTGTAACATCCATCTTGAAAATTGTTGATGTGAAGTTTGAATCGATAAGTACCCGGATTGGGTCAATGGAAAGAGCTATGAACAGTCTGCAGTATTACAATCTGCGCCAGTTCCGTGTGGTTAACACTCACATGAGGGCCCTTGATACCATTATGCAGGCTACACATTCTCAGATGGGTGAGATTGATATCGAAAGTAAGGAGACTAAAATCTCCATCGATATGCTGAAAAAAGAACTGAAAAATATGGAAAAGGTACAAAATGCTATGTTCGATTCCGTGGAAACACATTTTGAGAAATTAGACCTTAGTACGGATGTAAAGTTCGCTTCTTTACAAGAATCAGTTGATCTAATTATAAACTCAACGTCGCAAAAGAAAGCAAAAGGACATGAAAATGATGATAAACAGTTATTGACGCCACTGATAGAGGGTTTAAAATCTGTCCTAAACGATTCTGGCAGATTCACCAACGATAGACTTACAAGTCTTGAAGAAAAGGTGGACAGTTACCACAACATAACGATGTCTAAACTCAAAGGTGTCGAGGTAGAAAGTGTAAACGCAACTTACAATAAAACAGAGGAGCGTTCTCTGATAGAGACATTAATTGACCTCAATGACAATGTTCTTCGATCTATCAATTTTTACCGACATACGGGTGACTTGGTGGAGAGGATTGTGGGAGCTACCGAAACAGTAGCAGACGATCAAGACACAATACGTTCTGACCTGAGACTGTTTCTTGAAATTCAGACTAACAACACGCTCTGTAACCAAAACCAGGAAGCCGACGTCAGTCAAGTGGAAACAAAAGACGACTCAAACGAGATCCCTAATGTGATAATGACTGATGGTAATCTACAACGATGTGAAATAACGTTACACGAACTGGGGGAAATGGCAGACATATTTAGAAATAGCACACACCTGACTGATCTGTGGACGGAAATGGCACAAATGAACCAGTTTACGTTACGGACTACAGTCATGGATCTTATGGCAGAAGTTGCAAAATTGCATGAAGTTTATGAAAAAGTCAACACATTTTCTGAGCAAACGACAACAACTGCTCCAAATCTCTTCACTGGATTAATGGAGTATGACCTTGAAAGTATTTCCAATTCTACAAAAGCGGTATACCAGATGGTTGAAGCAGTGGCTTCAAATACCGGCTGGATACCATACATATATCACAACCTGCAGTATGTAGAGAGCCAGGTCAATGAAACTGCAAGAAATTCCAAGAATATTCTCCAAAAACAAGAAACAATGACCGAAATTATGAGATCTCACGACAGGACGGAAGCCCTTACAGGACGACCGGCAATGACGCGAAGTTTTAGAAACTTGGAACCTGTCTTACCGACCCAGACTAATCTACTGACTAACAATGACCGGAATACTTCGTATCTCGATAAACTCAACACCATCTACAGAACGAATGTCAAAATGCACCGTCTGATTCCCGCCTTAACTAGGTTACTAGGGGAACCAGGTGAGTGATGCATGCTGGCAAGGGAAGAAAATAATCTACATTTGTTTGTACCAAAGAGGGAGAAGTCCAAACGATATGAGATACATGTACCTAATATACACCAAGAACATAGTTTATTTATCTATAATATTCTTTGAGTATCGGTTGACCAAAATTATTAAATTTCAATACAATATCAATTCAAAATCTCTTTAATAAGCTAAAGACTTTATCTTAAATGCATGCATTGAAAAAATAAAATAAAATGTAAATACCTTTTGAAAATTATTATATACATTCATGTCTTGAAATATGCTTTTTTTCAGAACCGTTCATAACCTTAGTGGATGGAAAGAACGAAAACGAGGGACGTGTGGAAATCTACCGGAATGGTCGCTGGGGCACGTTTTGTAAGGCTATCGGTCATGTAGAGGCTAGCTACATATGCCGTCACCTTGGTTACCTTGGTGGTATATCCGCCGGAAGTGGATTTTACGGTGCTGGAGAGGGCGTATTCTGGAAACTCAATATGACGTGTTTGTTGACAAGGCGATGTGAGGTGGCTACTGGTGTAGAAGCAAGCCAGTGTAGTCACGAAAACGACGCTGCTATCATATGTGGTACGTAGAGGTATTATCCCGCGGGTTTGGGATTAAAGGGTGCGTCCGTGGGGGGCGGCGTATTACGGTCCCTAGCAGCACTCACATTTTTAGATGGGGAGGTCCTCCGTATTGTCTGTTTTTTGTTATTTTTGTTTTTGATTTTTAGTAAATTGCAGTGTGCTTGATCTGCTATGTCCATCGACAATAATATATATTGACTTGATGTACTTATTTAATATCATTTTAAGAGAGGGTCGGCGGACTTATTGTTAACGAAATGATTCAGCACATATTGGCTTTCACAGGTTGTCACAGAGTAGAAGATATATTTTGAGGATATATCGTTAATGGGGATTTTTCAAGTTCAGTATAACACTACACGTGAATTCATTTTAATCTGTGTAAAAAATCCAATATAATGCACATTCAATAATAAGCAAAACCCACAATCAAATGTTAAGAATTCTCCAGAATTCAACATTAAAAAAACATACAATATATGTTGAAATTACAGGAAATGTTTTTGAGTGAGACATGTAGTCTATTCCCAGTCTCTAAGTCAGGTGACTAAAGTTACGGGAAATGTTTATTGGTGAGACATGTAGTCTATCCCCGGTCTCTAAGTCAGGTGATGACTAATGTTACGGGTAATGATTATGGGTGAGACTTGTAGTCTATTCCCAGCCTCCAAGTCAGGTGACTGAAGTTACAGGAAATGGTTATGGGTAAGACATGTAGTATATCCCCAGCCTCTAAGTCAGGTGACTGAAGTTACGGGAAATGTTGATTGGTGAGACTTGTAGTCTATTCCTAGCCTCTAAGTCAGGTGAATGAAGTTACAGGAAATGTTTATGGGTGAGACTTGTAGTATATCCCCAGACAGTAAGTCAGGTGACTGAAGTTACAGGAAATTTTTATGGGTGAGACTTGTAGTCTATTCCTAGCCTCTAAGTCAGGCGAATGAAGTTACAGGAAATGTTTATGGGGGAGACTTGTAGTATATCCCCAGACAGTAAGTCAGGTGACTGAAGTTACGGAAATGTTTATGGGTAAGACTTGTAGTATATTCCCAGACAGTAATTCAGGTTACCGAAGTTACGGGAAATGGTTATGGGTGAGACTTGTAGTCTATTCCCAGCATCTAAGTGACGTGACGGAAGTTACGGGAAATGGTTATTGGTGAGACGTGTAGTATATTCCCAGGCTCTAAGTTAGGTGACTAAAGTTACGGGAAATGTTTATGGTTGAGACATGTAGTCTATTCCCAGCCTCTAAGTCAGGTGACTAAAGTTACGGGAAATGTTGATTTGTGAGACTTGTAGTCTATTCCCAGCCTCTAAGTCAGGTGACAGAAGTTACGGGGAATGGTTATGGGTGAGACATGTAGTCTATCCCCAGCCTCTAAGAAACGTGACTGAAGTTACAGGAAATGTTTATGGGGGAGACTTGTAGTATATCCCCAGACAGTAAGTCAGTGAGACGTGTAGTATATTCCCAGGCTCTAAGTTAGGGGACTAAAGTTACGGGAAATGTTTATGGGTGAGACATGTAGTCTATTCCCAGCCTTTAAGTCAGGTGACTGAAGTTACGGGTAATGGTTATGGGTGAGACTTGTAGTCTATTCCCAGCCTCCAAGTCAGGTGACTGAAGTTACAGGAAATGTTTATGGGTGAGACTTGTAGTATATCCCCAGACAGTAAGTCAGTGAGACGTGTAGTATATTCCCAGGCTCTAAGTTAGGGGACTAAAGTTACGGGAAATGTTTATGGTTGAGACATGTAGTCTATTCCCAGCCTCTGAGTCAGGTGACTGAAGTTACGGGAAATGTTTATGGGTGACACATGTAGTCTATTCCCAGCCAGTTAGTCAGGTGACTGAAGTTACGGGAAATGTTGATTGGTGAGATGTGTAATCTATTCCCAGCCAGTACTATATCCCCAGCCTCTTAGTCAGGTGACTGAAGTTACGGGAAATGTTTATGGGTGACACATGTAGTCTATTCCCAGCCAGTTAGTCAGGTGACTGAAGTTACGGGAAATGGTTATTGGTGAGACATGTAGTCTATCCCCAGCCTCTAAGAAACGTGACTGAAGTTACAGGAAATGTTTACGGGTGAGACATGTAGTCTATTCCTAGTCCCTAAGTCAGGTGACTGAAGTTACGGGAAATGTTGATTGGTGAGATGTGTAATCTATTCCCAGCCAGTAAGTCAGGGGACTGAAGTTACGGAAAATGGTTATTGGTGAGACATGAAGTCTATTCCCAGCCAGTAAGTCAGGTGACTGTCTATTCCCAGCCAGTAAGTCAGGTGACTGTCTATTCCCAGCCAGTAAGTCAGGTGACTGTCTATTCCCAGCCAGTAAGTCAGGTGACTGAAGTTACGGGAAATGTTGATTGGTGAGACGTGTAGTCTATTCCCAGCCAGTAAGTCAGGTTACTATTCCCAGACGGTAATTCAGGTTACCGAAGATACGGGAAATGGTTATGGGTGAAGTTACGGGAAATGTTGATTGGTGAGACGTGTAGTCTATTCCCAGCCTCTAAGTCAATGTTTATGGGTAAGACTTGTAGTATATTCCCAGACAGTAATTCAGGTTACCGAAGTTACGGGAAATGGTTATGGGTGAAGTTACGGGAAATGTTGATTGGTGAGATGTGTAATCTATTCCCAGCCAGTACTATATCCCCAGCCTCTTAGTCAGGTGACTGAAGTTACGGGAAATGGTTATGGCTGAGACATGTAGTCTATTCCCAGCCTCTGAGTCAGGTGACTGAAGTTACGGGAAATGTTTACGGGTGAGACATGTAGTCTATCCCCAGTCTCTAAGTCAGGTGACTGAAGTTACAGGAAGTGGTTATGGGTGAGATTTGTAGTCTATTCCCAGCCTCTAAGTCAATGTTTATGGGTAAGACTTGTAGTATATTCCCAGACAGTAATTCAGGTTACCGAAGTTACGGGAACTGGTTCTGGGTGAGACTTGTAGTCTATTCCCAGCATCTAAGTGACGTGACGGAAGTTACGGGAAATGGTTATTGGTGAGACGAGTAGTATATTCCCTTGTAGTATATTCCCAGACAGTAATTCAGGTTACCGAAGTTACGGGAAATGGTTATGGGTGAAGTTACGGGAAATGTTGATTGGTGAGATGTGTAATCTATTCCCAGCCAGTAAGTCAGGGGACTGAAGTTACGGAAATGTTTATGGTTAAGACTTGTAGTATATTCCCAGACGGCAATTCAGGTTACCGAAGTTACGGGAAATGGTTATGGGTGAAGTTACGGGAAATGTTGATTGGTGAGATGTGTAATCTATTCCCAGCCAGTAAGTCAGGTGACTGAAGTTACGGAAATGTTTATGGTTAAGACTTGTAGTATATTCCCAGACGGTAATTCAGGTTACCGAAGTTACGGGAAATGGTTATGGGTGAGACTTGTAGTCTATTCCCAGCATCTAAGTGACGTGACTGAAGTTACGGGAAATGGTTATTGGTGAGACGAGTAGTATATTCCCAGGCTCTAAGTTAGGTGACTAAAGTTACGGGAAATGTTGATTGGTGAGACTTGTAGTCTATTCCCAGCCTCTAAGACAGGTGACTGAAGTTACGGAAAATGGTTATTGGTGAGACATGAAGNTCTGACGGAGCTACATCCCGGTTTGTAAGTTACTGATGGAGTTACATCACGGTTTGGTAAGTTACTGACGGAGCTACATCACGGTTTGTAAGTTAATGACGGAGTTACATCACGGTTTGTATGTTACTGACGGAGTTACATCACGGTTTGTATGTTACNAGAGTAACATCAAGGTTTGTATGTTACTGACGGAGTAACATCAGGGTTTGTAT